GCGCTCGTGGACGAGGGCGGGCGCGGGTCTGAAGGCGAGCGCCAACGGGAGGGGCCTGCCCCCGCTTACCACAGCGCAGCGTTCCTCTCAGCCCCAGCTGCTGGAGGCGACTCGGCCTTTACCTGGCGGCCAACCGCGCGGCCCGCGCCAACCCGCAAGTCCCCGCCAGGCTTCCGTGCCCCAGTAGCCGCCGCGCCCCGCGAAGCCATAGACGATTCCGGCGGCGGGCCCAACCAGTCGGAACAGTCTCAGAGCAGCGAACGTGAGCAGCATGCGGAGCAGGAGCCGGAAGAGCCGGATGAGCAGGAGCTGCCGGCCGCCCGCGGGGAGGGCGCGGAAGTAGCGCCAGCGCAGGAATGGGGGCATGGGCAAGAACAGGAACAGGCCACCACCCACCGCCGCACTCCCCTGGCTGACACTACTTGCCCTGGCCCCTCCCTCCCTGGCAATGGCGCGAGCTCGAGCGCCGAGGAACGACGGCAGCGCGGCCGGAACGTTCCCCCAGCGCGGCCTCGTGGCAGCGGGTGGACGCCCCGCCTAGCCTCTGTGACTGGCGACCCTCCAGCCTCCCCGCCGCCCCCGGGCCCAAACCTGGCCCGTAGCGACGCCGACCGCGCTGGCGGGTCTGGTGGGCGGCTGACGGCAGGCGGCGGACGCAGCAGCAGCAGCCGCTGAAGCAGCAGCAGGCGCCGCGCCGAGGACCAGCCGCTGACCACCCCGCCCCTGGCAGCGGGTCCCGCCGCGCGTCACTGTCCAGAACCTTTAGACCCAGACACGGGGCAGCAGCTATATAAAGCTAAGATCGGCGGCGTCCAGTGGGACCCCCCCGGGGAGACACCTGGCGAGACGATAAGGCGGCTTCAGGTCACCCTGGGAGCGAGGTTCACAGGCGCCTGGCACGCGTTCGCCCAGCAGCACGCCATGCCTGGCAGCAAAGGCGCGCTCGACCCGCGGCGGCGCGACCAGCAAACGTGCGCCAATTTCCTGTCCTCCTTCCGCAGCCAAAACTGCGACGTGCGGGCCATGGACGACGCGCTGGACCTCGGCGTTGACTGGGCGCAGTTGCGGCTTCAGTACCGGGGTGGAAGTGACGGCGCGGGCAGGGGGCGCCAGGCTGCGAAGGGCCACGCTGATCGCCGCGCACCCAGGAAGGACCAGAAACAGTGGAAGGTCGTCACCTAAATTTCAGGGGCAGCGTCCGTTTTCCACACTCTTGTGCAGCCTTCAGCTGCCTCCCTGGGTTACGTTACTCGCGTGGCGGCCTTTTGCCGCCCCCCCTGGTACGCGCACTTCCTGCCTTTGGACCCAAGTGTGTTTACCAGCAATTCCGTCTGCATGGCAGCGCTGGGGCGTGTTGCGTGCAGGCCCTAGTTGGCCCCGGGCCCCGCTGTAGTTGTTTTCACTTTTGGCCCTGGCGGACTTCGCCCCCCGGCCTCGCGGCTCTGTGACCGACGCAAAGATGGCTTCGCCTCGTCGCTGTCCAGAACCGCACCCTAATTCACTCTGGCTTCTCCTGGTGTGGCCGTGACCGGGCCCTCCAGCGGGCAGCCTTATCCCTTGGTATCCCCAAGATACTCTTCGGCCTTCAGCCGCGCCTCTCCGCCTTCCCTGGGAGCGACCCTGGGCTTGGGCTTATCGACAGTGGGTCTCTGCGTTGCTCAGGCGGTGTCCGTGGTTGTGGTGCGCCCCGCTTCGTTGGCTGGAGTGCCCGCCCGGAGGTCGCTGCGGCCGTGCTCGGACTCTGGGTCGCAGGTGTGCCCCCGTGCATGACTTGCCACAATTTGGCAGCGGCTGGCCCAGGCCGCGCCCACACCTGTGGCTAGTGGTGCACCGCTCGCCGCAAGGATCCGTGCACGCTGACGTCGCCCCATCGTCGCTCCCACGCTAGACCTTGTTGAGCGGTCACTTCCCGGGCTTCTTCGCGACTACGGACGGTTGCTTGTGCTGCAGCGGGCATGCGTCGGCGCAGCTTTCTCAGAGCGCTATTTCCACGCTTTCTGGTCCGCCAGGGTATCCTGGAGAGCTGCTCTTTGTTATGTCACTTAGTTGCTCTCTGGTGCGCGCCCTGTCATCTTCGGTTGGCCCCCGTGTCTCGCGCCGAGGTCGGGAACAGGTGTACTTTCCGCACTGCGTCGCATCATGTCGTTGATCTTTCGCGTGCGAACGCATGCCCACGGTCTCGCTCATACCCGGCAGACACCCTGGGCTCTCTGACACCCTGCGTGCACGGAGACAGATCCCCACTACGGTCTCGCTCATGCCCGGCAGACACCCTGGGCTCTCTGACACTCTTCTTGCACGGTGCTTGACGGCGTCAGCTCTCTTGCCAACGGTCTCGCTCATACCCGACAGACACCCTGGGCTACTGACGCACTCGTTGCACGGAAACTCCCCGGGCGTCTTCGCGACTACGATTGCTTGTGCTGCAGTGGGTATGCGGCAGCACAGCTTTCTCATAGCGGTATTTCCTTTCTGGTCTTTCAGAGTCTCCTTGAGAGCCGCTATTTGTTATGTCACTTAGTTGCTTCCTGGTGCACGCCCTGTCACCTCGGATACCGTCGGGTCTCTCGCCAAGGTCGGGGGCAGGTGTGCCTTTGCACTGCGTCACATCATGTCGTTGATTTTTTTGCGTGCGAACGCATTCTTCCGCAGTTAGTTTGAGGGTTGACTCCGGTTGTCAATGACTTCAGGCGTGCCTTTTCAGCCGCGTGGATGCGCGCTCTGAAGCTGCGACGGTTCGCTGGCGCTGTCAGAGGCCCTTCTCCCTGCAGGACGACGTCAGCTCTCTTGCCTATGGTCTCGCTCATACCCGACAGACACCCTGGGCTACTGACGCACTTCTTGCACGGCCCTGTGATCGTCGGACCGACACGATCCTTGACTGGGGGTGTGCGACGCGCCATTTTGGCAGCGTCTTCCCTGCTTCCTGGGTGGCTGTTTCCCTTCAGACTCCCTGGGCTGCAGCTTGCACCGCCGCCTAATCCGCGGCTCCCGCGCGCGCCCGGCGAATTCGTCGCGGCCGCAGCCCGACCGTGACCCGCCGCCGCCGGCGCTTCCGCCTGCGGCTGTAAAAAAAATGCCCCCACCAGTGGTTACCTGCCGCTTCCGACGCCTTGCATCTTTGCGCGCCGCCAGCGCGACTCAGTTCAGCCAGCTCCCTCCGCTCGCCGGTCCGCCGCTGAGGTGCTGCGTGGGGCTCCGCTTAGCCGCTTTAGGTGAGGCTGCGCCCTCTTGCTTTAGGTGAATGTGTCGCTGCGTGCCCCGCTTTGACTGGACTCGCCGCTGGCGCGCTCGCCTGCGGCCGCCGACTAAAAAACACCCCCGCCAGCCCGTCCAGAAATGAGCCCCAGAGGAGTGGAGGTTGCGAGGGGAGCGGGGGGGCACGCAGAAGGACAAAGGGCGGGCGAGCCGCCATATGCCCCGAGAGGTGGAGGATGTAGGAGTCGTCGTCGTCGTCGGAGCAGGAGGAGGTCGAGGAGGGGCAGGGGGGGGGGGGGGGGGGGGCAGGGGGAGGAAGGGGGAGGGGGCGAGGGCGAGGAGAACGAGGAATAAACGCAGGAGGAGGAGGAGGAGGAGGAGGAGGAGGGGGAGGAGGAGGAGGAGGAGGAGGAGGAGGAGGAGGAGGAGGAGGAGGAGTGGAGGAAGGGAGGAGGAGGATGATGATGATGATGATGGGGGAGGAGGAGGAGGAGGATGATGAGGAGGAGGAGGAGGAGGAGGAGGAGGAGGAGGGGGGGAGGGGAGGAGGAGGAAGAGGAGGAGGAGGAGGAGGAGGAGGAGGGAGGAGGGAGGAGGGAGGAGGGAGGGGAGGAGGGAGGAGGGAGGAGGGAGGAGGGAGGAGGGAGGAGGGAGGAGGGAGGAGGGAGGGAGGAGGGAGGAGGGAGGAGGAGGGAGGAGGGAGGGAGGAGGGAGGAGGAGGGAGGGAGGGGGAGGGAGGGAGGGAGGGAGGGAGGGAGGGAGGAGGGAGGAGGGAGGGAGGAGGGAGGGAGGAGGGAGGGAGGGAGGAGGGGAGGAGGGAGGAGGGAGGAGGGGGGAGGGAGGAGGAAGGAGGGAGGAGGAGGAGGAGGAGGGAGGAGGAGGAGGGAGGAGGGAGGAGGGAGGAGGGAGGAGGAGGAGGAGGAGGAGGAGGAGGAGGAGGAGGAGGAGGAGGAGGAGGAGGAGGAGGAGGAGGTGGAGGAGGAGGAGGAGGAGGAGGAGGAGGAGGAGGAGGAGGAGGAGGGGGGGAGGGGGGGGGAAACAAAAACGGAGGAGGATGAGGACAATGGCGAGCCTGGGGGCCCCTTGGGCCGTCTTTGGGGCCTCTTGGCGATCCCGGGGGCCTCTCGCGTATCTCGGTGAGCCTCTGGTGGCTTCTTGGGGATCTCTTGGGAGTCTCATGGAGGCCTCTTGGGCGCCTCTTGGGGCGTCTTGGGGCTCTCATGGGGCGCTCGTGGGGCGCCCCCGGGAGCCTTCGGGCCGCTTTTGGGGCCATCTTGGACGAGATCTACCAAAGAAGGGGGGGCGTCATTTAGCCCCTCCCCTATAGAGTGCCTCGAATCGCCTCTTGGGCCCCTCGAGAGGCCAGAATCCTTCCCAAACCTAGGGGGAGTCAATGTTTTGTGCTTTCTCGCCTTTTCGCTCTTGGAGCCGTCTTGGTCCATTTTGGACGCCCGAACGACCCGCGGAACCCTCCGTCCAGGTCCAGGGGGGGGGGGGCATGGGGGGGGATCAACCCTTCCCCGAAGGAGAATATTGGGGGTTGGAAGAGGGAACTAGACCGCCGACGCCCAGAGGGCTCGTGGGATTTGACGCGGCTGGGCATGGCGTCGCCCGCGCAAGTCTGACATCTGACTCTTTCGAGGTTCCGAAGGGGGGGGGGGGGGCGGGCGGGGGGGAGAGTGGGGGGTAATAGACGATGGAATGAGTGAAGGATGAGGAGGGAGAGGACGACGACGACGAGGAAGGAAGGGAACATGGAAGGAGGACAGAGAAGGGGGAAGGAGGAATGATAGGGACATGAGGGGGCGGAGGGCGAGGAAATGGCGCGGCTTGGGCCATCGATATCACCCGCGCGCCCGCGGGCGTCGCACTCGGCGCGGAGCTTGTGTCTCGCTGGGCCGTCTCAGTCTTGCGCAGACCACCTTGGGCGCCTCTCGGGCACCCCGCCCCCCCCGACGCTTTTGTCTTGGGCCTTCTGGGTTGTTTCGGGCGTAGTTGAGCTGCCTTTGGGGCAATTTGCTTGGGCCGGGTAGGGGGTTCAGCGAAGCTCTTCAGGCCGTCTCAGGGGCCCTGGGGGGCGCCCTGGCTGTCTGCTGAGCGACGCGGGCCTTCGCGGGCGCCTGTCGGGCGTTGCTCGGGTTTTCTCGGCGGCCGCGGGGGCAACCTTGACGTCCTCCTGGGAGCGCATTTCGGGCTGTCTAGGCCGTCTTGGGATCTCGTTGGAAACGCGCGGAGGGCGATGGCGGAGTGCCATGTTTTTTTGGGGGGGAGTTGCTTCAGATGCTAATGCCGGTGTTTCCAGCTCTCGCGCTCAATCCCGGGGGCCCCCAAACGGCGCGGCGACCGCGCCGCGCGGCGAGTCGGTGGGGGTTCGGGGCCGCCGCGCGGTTTTGGGACTCGGGTCGTTCTCCAAGGACGTCTCGGGCGACTGGGGTCCCCGGGGTCCCAAAACCGTGCGCTGACGGACCGTGCGGTGAAGTCGCGGGGGATCTCGAGGTCACCGCGCGGTTTGTCACCGCGCCGCTTCGGGGCCCCAAGCAATCGGCAGCGACGCAATGCCGCGGGCGTGAACGCCGAGGGCCGATGGCTCACGGCTGGCGGTGCCATGTAAACGACGACGTGGGAAGATCGGCCTTGTACGAGGTGCGCATTCGTTCTGGGTCATATTGTTCCCGACGTCCACGGCGCGCGTTTCTGGGTCTACGCGGCAGGAACCAATGGAGCAGCGGGCAAACGCGACGTTGATTTGGTTGCCCCAGAGAGTTTCGAGAACGCGCCGCAGCCCTGGTTGCTGCCGCGCTCGAGGAGCCGACGGCGCTTGTAGATCGCAGTTGTTTCTCGCGGCGCCCGCGCCGAGGAGCGCGCGACATCCTTGACAGTTGGTGGGCAGGCAAGTGGAGATGGGCACGATGTAAGCCAGACCTGTTTTAGCAGCTTGGGGCCACCCGCGTGAGGCTGACTCTCCGAGGCTTCACGGGCGCCGACGCCGATCTCGCCCCCGCGTGCGCGGGCACCTCGCCGCGACTCCCAGCGCGCGGTTGCCCCCGAGTCTGCTTACCTAGGGCGGGCGATCCATGCGCGGGGCGTCAGGAAGTCCTTCCTGGAAGGCGCAGCAAACAGGAACTTGCGGTGGCAACAGGTGAGGACGAGCGCGAGGTTGAGTTTGAGCTCGCCCCCGGTGCCGTCGCTTGCTTGGGCCAAGAAAAGGGGCGCGAAACTTTCGACCCAGTATTAGACGTAGTCCACACGGAGAAACCAGGCAGCGGGTGCACAGATGCTTCGAGATGCCAGTCCATCCAATTCACCAAAGCCCCCGATCACATGTACCAAGCCGCCCCAACATTTTTCGACAACGAGTTCGGCGCCAAACACAAAGATGACGACCTCGCCCCACTGGCCGCCGCGCGTGTCCACGACGCCAAAATCACATGAGCACCGCATGAACAGGCCAGGCCACGTCAATGCTGAGAAGATGCGTTCGGCAATTGCCAGCTGGATGTTAGCAAAAGTATTTTCACGCGGTGTGAAGCACGTCATTCCCTCGCGCTCAGCGGCGGATATGTGCTTGACCAGATCGAGTACACCTCATGCGCTGAAGCCAATGGGAAGCGCCGAGCTGGTTGGCAGAACCAACTCCGAGCTCGCTTCAGAGAGCCTGGCAATCGCGCTCGTCGCCCGAATCGGTCTAAGCGCCTACGTAGCTGCACTTCAGCGCCGCGCAGTGGCGCCCTCGCGCGGCCACGTGCGGATGTTCAAGACGCTGGTGAGCTGGGGCCACGCCACTACGCATCCAATCCCCCCATGCGTTGCGTGCGCGCGCACGAAATGCACAGCGACGCAGCGCCGACGCAGGGCGAGCCCTGTTACGAGCCACCTTCTTGGCTGGCAGTGCGGGGCGCTCAGAACACTGACGCGAAGCATCCTCGCAATCGAGCTGATGGCAGCGATCAGCTCAAACAGATCGCGTCCTCGCTCGAGCCGTTTTACTCAGTGAAGTACTCGAGGGGCCTCCTGGCCCTGAAGCGGTGCGTCGCCAACGAGATGGTCAACGAGCGCGTGCGCTGCCAATCAGGCTTTGCCCGGACTCGACGGCGGTGAGTACAACTGATGCAGCTGCGAGACCTACGCCTCCGGCAGCGCACTCGCCGCCGCCGCGTGTGCTCCAGCCCCGCGACCTCCTGAACTCGGCCCAGCCTGGGCCCCGTGCTGGGGAGATGCGCGCGACGTGATCGCGGGCGGACTATCCGAGGGCAGCGTAGGGAGATATATTTTTCAGATTGTGGACGGTGGCTTCCGTCAGCGGTCACATGCGCCGCGAGCAGTCGCCCTCGCGTCGGCTGGCAGGCCCACCGCGCTATTGGGGCGCGAGCGCCAGCCGGTTTCCGACAGTTGTTTTACGCGACTGCGGGAGCTCCGCCCCCTCTCGGAACCATCGGCCCCCATTCGTCCTCATCTTGCCGGGCGGTCAGTCACATGGCACGTGGCGCTTGGGAAGCGGAGTTGTAGGGCGGCAGTTCGGGGGGGCATGCTTTCGGGGGTCCGCGCTGCAGTGGTCGGCGCTCGCTGCGACGCGAGCGCGGGCGAGCGCGCGCGGATGTAGCGGACGCAAAAGTAGCTGGTATAATCAATTGGAAACATCCACGATGCCGCCGTCGCATTGCATCGGCATGCTTGCGCGCCGCCTGGCCGCAGCGTGCTGAGCTGCCAGCTGTAGCTCGCGCTCCGCCGGGCCCGCGCGCGGGCCCCCGGCGCGGGCCTCCCCGCGCTGGCGGCCGCCCGCTGCCGCGCGCGTGCCGCCGTGCCTCAGAGCGCGCCGCCGGGGCCCCCAGGCCTGCCGCCGCCCGCGCTCCGCGCCCTCGTCTTCCTTATCTCCCACTCAGCGAGTTTCGTCATCGGGAGATGCGGCGCGCGCGTCGACTGCCCGCCGAGCAGCGCCGCGGGCCTGGCCCCCGACGCCGCCGCCAGGCGCCTGGGCAGGTGGCGACGGCCCATCGGGGCCCTCGGCGATTATCCGCCACCCCGGCTCGCCGCCGACGCCGCCGCCGCGCGGGGCCCGAGGTCGTGAAGTGGGGCGCCCGGCCCAGCCGTCCGACGTGACAAGGCGCGTGGCGCCGCAGCCACTTGCTTCGCAGGGCCGCGCTCGAGTTCGAGGGCGCCCCCGTTCCCCGTCGCGCCCGCAATTTCCGCGCGGGCGCCTTGTGGCAGCCGTGGGCTTTTTCGCGGCCGATGCCAACCGGCGCGGCGCCCCCGGCGAAGCCGACCCCGCCAAGTGCACCGCCCCTAGAGGTGCCGGCCGCGGCGCCCTTCGGAGGATGCTCAGCCGTTCGCCAAGCTAGACGGGGACATTGTAAATTTCGTGCGCGTGTGGCATCGTGCGTATCCTCTGCCAGAGCAGGTCGCCCGTCGCACCTCGTTCAGCGTCGACGCGATGGGCCCCGCGCAGGATTCACCTTCGAAGCGCGGGGAATCCACGGCTCGACAAATGATCCGAGGCCCGCGTATGCGAGCGCCCCGTTGAGCATCGCATTCTTGATGTTCACGACGAAGCACCACCGCCTCTCGAGTTCGTGGAGCCCCAAGCAGCGAGGCAAATGCAGGCGTTACTCTTGGCTGATGAACGCGGGGTCCTGGCCCAGATCTGGCCAGGATCCTTTGGCCGAGCTCGACGGCGCATCGCCCGGCATTCCATCGTCCAAGAGCCGCCCGCCTGGCCATGTGCGGCTGGCGGGGCCGTCGCCGCGCGCAGCGCTCCAGCCTTGGCCTTCGGGCGAGCGCGCGCCGCCCCCCGGTTCACCCCCACCTCTTCGGCTGGCGAGGCCGTGCAAGACGAGGCCCGCGCGGCTCGCGGTTCGAGCTGGAGGCCGACGTTGCCTCGCCCATGGGGCCCACTCCTGTTCTGGACCTGGGCGGGGTCATGGCGACATCGGCTCCCGCGGCGCATGGTAATTCACGCCGTCGTCACTCACGCGCGTGAGCGTCTCCAGTGCCGCTGTTAAGAGCACGAGCTCGCTCTCCAGTGCAGTTGATGAGCTAGCGCCCCCACGCGCGCGCCCGTGAGGTCAAACAACTACGGGGTCTCTCCCTTCCGGATCTAGAATATGGATGTGGTTGGACAGATGTGGTTTCATTATTCGTTTGGGTTCTCTTCTCTACCAAAGCCGATCGATCGCCCGCACAATCCCGAGCCAAAGACGAGGTGCCGCCGCTGTTTGGCCCGAGCGTCGACGCATATCTTCTGTAATTGTACATCGTGAGTGAAAGCCCCGCAACCTACATGTTATTGCCGCCCTGTTTTTTCCCGCGCGGGTCCAATCCCCGCGAGAGTAGTTCATTATGATCCTCCTCTTCCTCCGCTTCGTTCCTCCTCGCGTTCGTCTTCCTTCATATATTAATCCTCGCCGTTGCGCTTGTCTTCATGTTTGTTGTCCTCCTGCGCCCATGTCTGCACTCACCGCCATCCGCGCTGCCATCCTCGTCATCCGTCGCCTTGCCGTCGCAATCATCCTTACGCACCCATTGGACACCATCGGCGTTTCCCGTACGGCTCCGATCAGGTTTCAAACGCGCTCACTTCCTCCGTGCGGCCCAAGGGTTCCTGAGACACCTGCCGCTCGCACCGACGACGCCTCCGCGCTGACCCGAGCCACCCGTTTGCCGTGCAAGTTGGGCTCCGGAAGTGGGAAGCCTTTCGACGATTTGGCGGGTCACCTGGCCTGAGCAGGTATTGGCACAGAAGCACCCCAGCAGGCCCTTTTGCCGAAGGGGTTCTGCGTGGCACACATCCATGAGCCTCCCTCGCCAACGCAGTGGGGCGTGGTGACCAGAATGCTTTACATTGGCTTGGGGCGGACGGGACCTCAGCGTGCTATTCGCTGCGCCCTTCCAGTATTGGGTGGTTCCAACCCTACACGGCAGGAGCGCCCGAGCCCCGAGGACCGAGATTGCCCCCCCCCCTGGCCGCAAGCAACCCGAGGCAATCTGAAAGCAAACTGTTTGGGAAGCAACCGGCATTCCATTTCTCAGTTGGTTTGTATTTGTTTCCTCCTCGGACCTCTTTGGAGGCGTCTTGCGGACATCTGAACTTCGGAAGGTTTGTTGGACTGTCTCGAGTTGGGTTTGGAAATGTTTGCAGCTGGTGCACGCTGTTCTTGTGCCGTCGATTGCCAAAGTGGCAATAGATGCCGAAGTGGCACCAGCACGCAACGTCAGGGGGGGGTCTAGGGCCGCGTGCGTCAAGGGAGGGTGAGTGGAAGCCGGCCCTAGAGCATCCGAGGACTCCCACCGGACAGCTAGCACACATTCTCACACATTCATTGTCATGTGACCTCATTGGCGGATATGCGGGCGTAGGGACTTGGGCGAAGAGTGTGTTTGGGATTCTGACCTCGACGCGTGTGTTTCCAGGGAAGGAGCCCTGTTGAGGTCAAGAGGTGGATGGGTGAGGAGCAGTTGGAGGTGGACAAGCAGGAACAGGAGGAGGGAGGGGAACAGTACAACGGACATGACGGATCATGCTGTTGCTGATGATGGTAGTAGTGATGGTGTTAGTGGTGTGACATGGTGACATGGTGTGACATGGTGACATGAGTGGCGACGCTAATCACTGATGGTGACATGGTGACATTGTCGGCGACGACGATGATGATGGCGGTGGTGATAGTGATGGCCATGACTACTGTCATGGTGCTGACTATGATGCTGATGCTGGTGCTGATGATGATGATGTTGATGCTGATAATAATGCTGCTGATGATGATAATGATGATGCTGGTGGTGGTGATGCTGATGATGATGCTGATGATGCTGATGATGATGATGCTGATACTGATGGTGATGATGCTGATGCTGATGCTGATGCTGATGGTGATGGTGATGGTGATGGTGATGGTGTTGATGATGGTGATGGGTGGTGATGTTAATGGTAACGATGGGAAGGAAGAGGCAGAAGAGGCAGAAGAGGAGGACCAACACGAGATGCTTCTGTCCAACACTTCTCGCTCTCTCCCTGTACATCTTTCTCTCTATCGCTATTCTGTCCGGCACGCGGAGCGTGCGACTCCTAATGGAGGCGCGCTGCGTGCTCAGCGTAGTTTGGGCCGTCTTTGCGTGGCCGATCGCGTTTTTGCGCTGCATAGCCGATCGCGGGTACCGCAATGGCGCCGTAGCGAGAAACAGAGCTGCTCTGCGAAGGTCGTGCCCAGCTGCGCACTGTGAGGAGGGACGGCGAGGAGGATGGGGTGAACGAGGGACAATGGGAGAGGAGGGGTTGCAGGATAATGAGGTTGAGGTGGAGGATGGAAAGGATGATGAGAAGGATGAGAGAGAAGAGGAGGAGGAGGAGGAGGAGGAGGAGGCGGAGGGATAGCAGGAGCAGGACGCCGATTAGAAAGGATGAGGGCGTGGAGGAGAATGAAAAGGGGGATGATGGGACCAGCTGAAGAGGATGCGCGAAACTGTGACCAGAGAAGCCGATGGCCAAACAATCGTGATGACGCAGTCGGCTACTACGCGTACGCAGCCACCCCGAAGGATCAGAGCTGGGTCCTCGTCGTCGCCTCCCTCCCCCTTGCTCCTCCCCTTGCTCCTTCCCCCCCTGCACTCCCCATCCCTCATCCCCCCCCCCCTTATCCGCGCGTGCTTTGTCTGTCGCCTGGCTCTCGTCGCGCCGCGCGTCGCCCCGCGGGCGCCAGGGGAGCCCACCTTTTCACCCGCCCTCACGCCTCACGCCTCGCGCCTCCTTTGCTCTCCCTCCCCTCCGGTCTGTTGCTCTCTCTCCTCCTCCACCTTTCGTTGACGGCATCGGGGGGGGACTTCGGAACTCACGCCTCACGCCTCACGCCTCCTTTGCTCTCCCTCCCCTCCGGTCCGTTGCTCTCTCTCCTCCTCCACCTTTCGTTGACGGCATCGGGGGGGGACTTCGGAACTACACCTGCCCGAGAGGCCCCTGGTGCGACAGCGGGCCCCAGACCCGCGAGACACACAGGGCCCCAGTCTACGGATTACGCCCGTGAGTCATCCGTATGGTGAGGTATTTGATGCATGGTTTGCACGCGCGAGGTAAGTTTGCCTGGTCAGCGAGCATGTCCATTATTCCGATGTATTCCCACGCGCACGTGCCGAGGCCTGGTTTCCTTCTCTACGAACATGTTTTTTCGAGCGCTCGCGCGAACACCAATCCTTACAACATGTGCCCGCGCATGTTTTGTCGTGTTTGATGTATTATTGCATGCGCGCGCGGAGGCCGAGCTCCTCTTGTCAAACATCATGCATGTTCTGCAAACCCTCCTTGGCATCCTCCTCCGTCTCTTCCTCCGTCTCCTCCTATTCCTTTTCCTCCTGCTCCTGCTCATCCTAGTCCAAGGCCTGGTGTAATTCGACTCCCTTGTATTAAACATTACATTTCATATAAACCTCCCTGTACCCACCGCATTGGAGACGCGCCCCCGCGCATCTCCGTAACGTTGGATACGGATACTTCCCCGCCCACTGAGGGCGGAATCTATCCACGTCCAGCGCCCCGCGACGTCCCCTGGGACACGTCTCCCAATCAGTGATATAGACAAAGCCCCAGCGTGGGCTCCATGCAACGACGCACGCGCACCCACCGTCGAGGACAACGAAGATGAGAGACGTGTGAGGCAATCAGGGGTCCCCGTCGACAGACAAGCCATAGCTGGAGGAGCATACGATACACAGGAAAGAGCAGGCTCGTGGCGCCTTTCTCGCTGAAAGGGGGGGCCCAGCTTCAAGCTTCCCCCCCCCTCCCTTGGAAAAAGGGGGGAGGGCGTGCGAAGCTCCCCCCCCTCCCCCCTGCTCTGGGCATTGTTTAGCTAGGGGGGCCCTAGCTGAAGGGGGGAGGGGGGGGCTTGGAAGCGGGCCCCCCCCCCCTCTCTCCCTTTTCGGGGCCCGAGGTCAGCCCAAGCTCCCCTTTCAAACGAGAGGGGGGGGCTTCTGAAGCTCCCCCCCCTCCCTTTTGCTTGGATTTTGTAGCTGGGGGGTCCCTGGCGATAGTGGTGGGGGGCTCGGATGCTACCCCCCCGCCCCTGACTGTCGGGGCCCCGGGTAAGCCCGGGCTCCCCTTTCCAGAGGGGGGTTTCCGAAGCTACCCCCCCTCCCGTCCTGTTGGCTTTTCCAGCTGGAGGGCTCTGGCTGAAGAGGGGTTTCGAAGTTACTTTTCTCTTTTGGTTTTCGGCGTACGTTTGGTTTTCGGCGTACTTGTGGTTTTCGATGTCTCTTTGGTTTTCGGCGCCACTTTGATTTTCGGCGCGTTTGGTGTCTTTGGCGCTTTCTTGGTTTTCGGCGCTCCATTGGTTTTTGGCGCTGCTTGAGTTTTCGGCGCTCCTTCGGTTTTCGACGCCCTGTCTGGTTCTCTGCGCACCCTTTATGTATGGTTTTCGGCGCATCGTTGGTTTTCGGCTCCCTATTGGGTTCTGGCGCTCCTGTGGTGTTCGGCGCTCTCTTGGTTGTCGGCGCCCTTTTGATTTTCGGCGCCCTTATAACTTTCGGCGCCGTTTTGGTTTTCGTCGCTCTTCGGTGTTCGGCGCTCCTTTGGTTTTGGGCACCCCTCGGCTGTCTGCACGCCTTTTGTTTTTGGCTCGCGCCTGCGCCCGCGCCCCAGGCTCGCCTGCGGGGATTGGGCGGGGAAGTATTTTGCGCGGGCGCTTGTTCAGCCCATTCAACGAAATTCACGGCGTCGATGGCGGCCTCGAGGCGCGCGCGGCTGCGACTCCCACGACGCCGCCGTAGGCCCGCCAACAAACAAGGAGCGCCCGCGCAGCAGGAACAACATGGGCAACACTCGCATCCACCCACCCTGGAGCAGATTGCCAACATGTTCTGCGCGGGGGTGCAAAGGGTCCGCGACAATGTCAGTGGCCTCGAGCGGCGCTTCGCGGAGATGAGCAGGGCCATCGACCCCAATTCCGACACGATGGAGGAGCGCGTTGAGAACGTCGACGCGCGCTCGACGAGCCTCGCGAACACGGTTGAATCCATGCGAGCCCAAACATCAGCTTTGAGTAGCAAGAGCGAGGCATGAGACCACGCGGAGGTTTTGGAGGTGGAGGTCGGGCAGCTCGATGGGGAAGCTCCGGCCCGCAACGCAAATGGAGCGAACAGCAACGACGCAAAAGTGTTAACGGCGGCGACTGGCCGGCTACATTCGCTGCCAGGGTTCGACGAGGCACGGGGGCGGTTGGAGGACAAACTCTGGAAGACGTGTGTGGCTCAGCCAGAGGGCGCCCAAGTCAAAGGCGAGCTCCAGGGTTTGATCGTCGCGAAGTCCTGGGGCCAGGCTGACAGGGGCAACGCTGTGCACGCGGCCCCCAAGAATGCCCTCGTGGAGGGCGGAAG